CGACTTAGCCGAATTGACAGGCCCGTATCCAGACTTGATTGTTCAATGGAACAACCCCTCTGTAGCTATAGGTCTGCAAGTCAATAATAATAATAATATTTATCAAGGTAAGAGGCACAAAAGTGACAAACACAAATAAAGCATGAAGACCTACAAAAATATTACTAAAATAGGATTGTATAGTAACATAGACTAAAACGATCGACGGCTATGAGTAATATAAATAAGAGATTAATTTTATGAAACATCTTCACAATATAAAGCTAATATATATATAAATATAAATCGTAATCTTACACCTTGAATGCAAAAGCCACCTTTCTTGTATCACGAAAGTTTGTAAATGCAGTGATTTGATTGGATGGGACACCAGTAAATGCAGGCAATCAGAGGCCTCGACAAAAAATTTGTAAACACTAAGCCATGAAGTTTTGCAGCTTTTCTGTCGAGGGCTGGCTATGAAGTCAAGGTATGACCCGAAGATCGTTTGACATTGCGAAGATGCTTTTAAATAGACTGACTGTAATACAACGTACATGTACATTATTATAAATATTGATTAATGATTAATTATATGTTGTTGAAGTCAGGTGAGAAACAGTGTTAACAACTTTCGCAGTCTAAGTTCAGTCAATCTACTTAAAATTAGATTTCGTTTTTTTCTTTCGGTCTCCATTGTAATCTTAAAAGATTTACATCTGTCACGCAGAATCCATATCGATTATGAACTATAAGATAGCGAAACCTAAAGTAGAGCGATATGACTTTCGATATTCTGACGAATTATAAACTTGCTGATACTCGCTTGAAAAAGTGATACTGATTGGCGGTAGAGTACCTTTTATAAATCTCGCTAGATTACAATGAAGACCCCAAAAAATGAAATAACGAAACGAATTGTAAAAGTTCATTTTGCAAAAGCTATTAAAGTTTCAATGTGTACATCGCTTATATTTTCTGCACTGATTATGTCAATATACGCTCACTTCCCTGATAAATTTTCAGTATATCAAGGGCGATCAACCTGTGTCAAATTCTATATAGTTGATTTAAACCAACACCCAAAATTTCATAAACTTCTGACTTACACTGACCTTGGCCGGTGCTATCTCATCACCATCTAACACCAAATTTCATTGAAATCAGAAAAAAAATCTTTATAGCCTCTATTGTATTCATGAACCAATTTTGACTAGTTTTTAATAAGTCAAGGGCAATAAATCAAAAACTGTTCATCGAAAAATCGTCAAATTCGAACTTGACCAAGATCTCATCAATATAAATGATCACACTAAGTTTCATTAAAATCAGATAAAAACTGTAGTCTCTATTTTGTTTAGACAAACAAGACATGTCATCATTCCCTGGTCGTAATGAGCATTCTCACAGGCAGATATTGTCGATATCACAATGTCATCTGTCATAACCTTTCGCGAGAATAATATCAGTTGGTATGGAAAATAATTACACGACTAAATCCCTTTAAAGTTTATCGTCAGTGAAAAATATGTTACATTATACTACACAGTAGTTTCTTATATTTTCAACAAGTTGAAATAGTTATTTTACTACATAGTAGTTACATTATGTGCATTACTTCAGATTTTACATTAGAAAAACATCAGATTAATCATAACGATTGCTTATGACTATAAAGAAATCTTTGATTTCATCCAAAAACATAACATCACGTTTAATAACATCAAAGCCTATTCGTGACGGCGGGAAAATGATATTTGTTGTGCTGATGATAGGTAAAGTATCGGGATAAATGGCTTCTTCAAATAACCCTAATAGTTTATAAATATTTTGCATCATTTTGTGTCTTCGTAATCTCAGTCGTTTCTCTGTAATATCGTTCACAACTATTTCCATCAGATGACAGTATTTATAAAGAAAAGTATAATCGGTTATCAACTGAAAATGATAGCGTTTTATTAAATGTAGACAATCTATATTTGCATCACAAGTCTTTACCAATACATATAATTCAACATCATCAAAATAATAAAATAAC